TTGATCAAAGTTAAAACCCACAGTCAAGGTCAACAGTCCATGTTGACCCCAACTCACCGAGTACCCTTGGTTACTCGCCGAGTTTCTTGAAGTACAATCCAACTCTCCGAGTCATCAGGATGACTCGTTGAGTTCCTTTGATTCTCGTTCAAACTTTAAGGCCACCCGTCGAGTTCCCTCCTTGCAACTCGACGAATTCACACACATACATATTCTTGGGAAAACTCATCCGACTCGTTGAGTAGTTCTTCAACTCGTCGAGTTTATTGCAATCTTCATGTGACTCGCCAAGTCAACCTCGCGACTCGCCGAGTCCATTCAGTCCTTTTTCCATACAGACTTGTTTTGATCCATGCAACGGCTCCAACTCATAGATCCAAGCTTTTAGGACATGCTTATCACGTAAAGTTGCAAACTTTACGTGCATGCATGGCTATAAAGGCTCTAAATACCTATTTTAAGTTCTTAATGGAACTTCATGCTCAAGAGGGACCTTAATCACAACCAAAACTGTGACTTTATGCTTCTAGAATCCAAGGAGGGTCCAGATCTGAAGTTACAACCTCAGATCTAGCCCATAGATCATCATACCAACTTGAAAATCCATAAAAAGCCCTAGAAACTCAATAAAAGGGAAAAGGGGAAGTAAGGATGGCACTTTGATACCTCCAAAGGATGCTAGCTAAGGTAAATCCTACTTCCCACGCCTTCCTTGCTTCAATTCCTTTGTACTTCCTAGCTTTCTTCCTCCAAGATTCTCTTTCTAAGCTTCAAACACCACACAAAGGCACTTACACACGTATAAGGACTCTCTATATCTGTAAAGAGACCCAAGGGAGGCTGAGCCCCCTTTAAATAGGGGTGAAAACTCCGAAATTTAGGGTCTCTTCTACCAGCTTCTACTCGTCGAGTCCCAGTATGGACTCATTGAGTAGGTCACTTAACACGCGATCTCATCCAGCTGCTACTCGACGAGTAGGTCAACCAACTCGTCGAGTATAGCTTAACCCAGTAAATCTTATTTAAGCAATACCTAAGAATCGGGGCATTACATGACGACCATACCCAACAGTGATAGAATTACTGAACTCTAACTTCCCTGGAGAATTATCGCTTCAACTCTGACTTGATATCCTCTGAACAATTCTCCTGCACAGATCCCAAAAAGATTCGGAATGATAACGGTACACGCGAGACCCACTCCGCAAGGTGCGTCCCTCTGTGGGTTCATCAATGACCTTTTGGTATGTAGGATGGCATATAACAATCCTTGATAACCCAGAAAGTAGCAGAAAACCAACCTGAGATCTGACTTGTCCAAACTCACTCAAAATTCCAAAGCAATATTGATTCCCGAAATTCATCTAGTATCAGAAGAAGATGACATTCCCGCAACATCTGACGAAATCCTGGTCTTAATGACAAAAACCAGCTATAGAATCTTTATTCCCAAAGGATTCTAATGATCCACAATCCTTGGGTTTCAAACGAACCCCTAACTTTCCCGCGACGAATCTGGCCCAAAAGCCCCGAGGCAACTACCGAGAGCTTCTAAAGTCCTACTTTGGTTGAACAAAAGACCACCAAGTTCCATGCCCATAGCTTTGTAAGTAATCTCTTATGAGAAGAACTCCTGTGATCGCGCTCGCATTGCCTGGCCCAGACCCTGATCATGAGCCGGAACTAGAACATGAATCTCACTCTTGGGTGCTTAACACCATATTGAACTGACATTCCAAGGATTCAAATATACCCAAGAATCCTTACCACCTGTTCCTGACATGCCTAACCCCGCTACCTTGTAGCAACCTAAACCTTTGGAGCGACAAACTCCTTTGTGCACCTTCCTGAACGTGTTGAACTAACTCCGGCCTAGTTGACCTTTCACCCGATGATTAGAATTCATGGGTCTCTTCCCGTGACCCCTTACTATACACACCTAGCACGAACCTTTATGATCAAAGTGCTCCAAATCGATCTCGCATTTGCAACCTCTTAGAAATCATACCCTTCAGGGTATGACACCCTGCCACGCTCACTAGATCACTTGCTAATGGTTAAGCTGCAACAACTGGAACATCCTCTACCCCTAAATCGGGTCACAAACTTCTCCCCGAAGCTTCTCAGATTCTCCAAGACTCTCACCGATTCGAGTATGGATCCTATGCTTTCAGTAGTACGGGCCTAATACTACCTTCCGCACCTATCCATAGTTTCCTCAGCAATCCTCCTAAATCCTCCAACTCACTTCCTCAATCTGGTACACCTAAATCTCACTGAACCTCACTACTAACCCACTGAACCATATACTAGGCTTTCCTAGGCTCCCGTACCCACCCGATCCTCAGCTGTTGAAATATTCCTAGCAATGTCAACTAGCTACCTCATGAATATATCCACATGCAACAGAGATCAGATAATCCTTCGAATAAAAGACCCATCCCTAAAACGGCTGGACTCAAACAAGAGTTGTGTAATAGGGTCAAATCTATCACTCTGAGATTATCTAGCCTGTGCCACATGTGACTTAGCATATTTACTTAATATCTAGGTCACATTACTAAGAGTCCCACAAAGCACAAAGCAAGCAGCATTCAAACAAAGGAAAATTGTAACCATCATATTCCAATCAAACCATTCTATCATCTAATCAAGAATATGTACATGCAATTCAAAGGCTCATACAATCAGGCATAACCTAAACAAGCTATCCTATTACTGACTAACCAGTACTAGCATGCAAGTCTACGAGCACATATCATAGGCATATAAGGCATCCTCCTAGATCCTTAGCCCTAATCTAGCATGCAGTTCTCATAATCATATCATAACATAACATATCATAACATGTATGGGTATCTTGGGGAAAACTTACTTGAGCTCGACTGATTGCACGCATCATACATATTGTTCTTTTCATAGTTCTTTTATCTTTCCAAATTCCTTCCAAACTCTTTTATAAGATGATTTTACTTTTGAAAAATTTTCATACCAAGTCCTTAGTTTGAGTTCAGACACACCCGAAAGTGTGCCCGAATCCCTCAAACCAAGGCTCTGAAACCAACTTGTAACATCCCAAAAATAAAGGCCAAAAATTGCATTTTAATTATGTTATTACATAAAACCATCAGAATAAAAACATTGATAATAACGTCTCATGTCAAAACCCAAGTGTCAGTAATCCAAAACATAGTATCATCAAACCATATCAGACCGTAATCCCTAAGGATCTCATGTGCGAAAAACATAGTGTGATGCGTTGCGATCGAGCCGGCTCCTTTCCTTTGAAAACGAAGTACCTGAAACCAAAACTGAAAACCGTAAGCACAATGCTTAGTGAGTTCACCCCATCATACCACATACCATACAATCACATATCATACTTACTGTCAGGCAATTATGGGGTGCTCGACCTACCCGATACGACCATTCTGGGGTGCCGACCTACCCGCATCAAGCTATTATGGGGTGCTGACCTACCCGTGTCAAGCCATTCTGGGGTGCCGACCTACCTATGTCAGACCATTCTGGGGTGCCGACCTACCCTCCGGTCTATCTCAACCGGCAACGGGGGCTATTTCACCCCCTACCACTACCACACAATAATATATCATAATCGTACTGTCAGGAATATCTGGGGTGCCCGACCTACCCTTCGGTCCTAACAACCGAACTTGGGGACTATTCCCCTCTTACTACCACTATCACATATAACATATCATAAACATACTGCTAGGCATGCATGGGTTTTGACGACCCCTTCGGTATCTCTCAACTGGTATTCGAGGACTATTTCACCCCTACTATTACTAACATGTATCACAAAGCATCGTAGCACACAAACATAATAGATAACGACATACTAGATTATTATCACAAAGACAAACATCTAACAAACAACTCCTGCTAGTGGGCCGACATTGTGGTCGTAGACCCACTTTTACTGGAAGGTAACTCACCTCATACTGCTGAAGTCCCGTAGACACAATCACACACTGCTGAAGTCCCATAGGCTGAACCCCAACTGTTAGTTGACAGATTCTCGAAATGTCAACACCAAAATAACACCCAATTAATAATAGGGTCTCAACACATAATCATGGATACTTACTTGGATAATTACTACATTACCCCAAGGTTGGCTTTATACAAGCCCAAGGCCCAATCCTTAGGCACAAAGTCCACTAGGAAATCAAAGCCCAACATATGGCCCATTTTTCTAAATTGGGCCCAAGCTTATACATGGTCTTATTCTAAGACCCAACATCATGTAAACATTAAGGCCCAAATTGTGGCCCATCTATGGCCCAATTTTCCAAATTGGGCCCAAACCCCTTACATGGGCCTTACCCTAGGCCCATTAAATTATTCTAGCCAAATTTCTTGTTCTTGGATGGCATGTTATTATCTCAATCATCAGAGCCCACTAAAAAGGCCCAACTTAAGGCCCAAATGAAATTAGAGTTTCACGTAAAATGATGATTAGGGTTAAGTTTCATACTTAACCCATTAAGGACTTAATCCAATAAGGACTTAATCCATTAAGTCCAATATTAACTTAGGTTGATTGTAAATGATTACCAATTAGTATATTAGATTCATTAAATAATTCTAATGCGGTCCCGCTAAGTCCCAAGTTAGGGTTTCATTGCATTAAGGTTTTCCACACCCTAATTAGGGTTTCTAATCCATCTTAGCCCAATAGGCCCAAATTCAAGTCCCTTAGCCCATTATGGTTTTAAGCACCCCAAACGAATCAAACTCAATGAGGCAAGCACACCGCCACCCAACACGACGTCCGATGGCGGCAGGAGACGGCAGCCACCACCATATGATGGTGGTTAGGATTTATTTTCATTACTCTTCTATTAGATAAATTTTACAATGCTTAAACCCTAAATAATTACACACGCACACACACACTAATACAAACACACATTCATAGCAACCTAGTGGCGGCTGATAGTGGTGCATGGCGGCAACCACCATGGTTGGCGGCCATGGTGGTCGTCTTCTCCGTATTCCGGCCAACTAACACCCCTGAAACATCCACACACACACATTCCTCAATTGCACAAGGACCCAACCACCCTTCGGTGGCGGTTGGCTACGACAACAACCCGGAGAGGCGGCAGCGACGGCTTGACAGCGACATCTTGCGGCGACGTGTCGCGACTGATGACAAGACTAAAGAGGAGGCGAAAAGGTGGCGGCAGGCACAACCCTTGACGGAAGGAACTAGCAGCGAGGTGGCGACGACAACAAAACCCTCCGCTGATGATAACATTGGTGGCAGGACGGAGAGAAGACGCATGCTTGCATCCTTGTCGGCAACTGGGGTAGCAACAGTGCTAGGAGGTCGTCGGCACACTTCGGCAGCAATGTCGTTAGCTGGGAAAGGAATTCACACCAACTTCGACGTCGGTCTTCTGCTTCCTCGGTTTACCAGTGGTGACTTGTGGTGGCGTTGGTGTAACATCCCAAAAATACGGGCCAAAAATTTCGTTTTTAATTAAGTGATTTGAAAAAATGTTTGTAACAAAATATCACACGATCATAATATTTGATAAAACATGTCTCGTGGTCGTAAACCAAAACATAAAACATGAAAATGTCAGAGTACAAAATCCCAGAATGACTCTTGGTGCGGAAATCAAAAGAGCGTGTGTGATGCGCCGCTACCGCGTCAACTCCTTCCCCTTGACAGAAGAGGTACCTGAAACAACAACTGAAAACCGTAAGCACGAAGCTTAGTGAGTTCCCCCACTGTACCACATACCATATAATCACATAGCATACATACTGCCAGACAATTCTGGGGTGCCCGACCTACCCGGTACGACCATTCTGGGGTGCCGACCTACCTGTGTCAAGCCATTATCGGGTGCTGACTACCCATGTCAAGCCGTTCTGGGGTGCTGACTACCCTTTGGTCCTAACAACCGAACCTCGGGGACTATTTCACCCCTAGTATTACTATCACATTACATAAACATATTATCAGACATATCTGGGGTGCCTGAGCTACCCTTCGGTCCTAACAACCGAACTCGGGGACTGGTACACCTACTACGTCTATCGCATATAACATAACAAGCCAACATGCAAACATATCATCACATACTATCAGACGTACCTGGGGTGTTTGACTACCCTTCGGTCCTAACAACCGAGCTCTACTACTATCACATACAACATATCATGCTAGCATATAACATATTAGGTAGTAGCAAACTTAGATGACATCACAAAGACAATCATCTATCATACGTCTCCTACTGGTGGGCCGGCATTGTGGCCTTAGACCCACCACTACTGGAAGGTAACTCACCTTGAAAGTAGCTGCTAAAGTCTGCTTGCTAAGCGCTTGACTGCTAAATCGCAAATCCTCCGACTATAAATCATAAACACAGGTTAGCCTCTCATACACACCCTTAGGTCAGATGACTAAACCACCCCTGGTCTAAGGTCAACTCCTTGGTCAAGGTCAACTTCCAGTTGACTAGACTCGCCGAGTCATGGCACCGACTCGCCAAGTCCTTCTCCCACTAACCCGGTCTTGCATGCCAAGTCCCTCTTCCCACTCACTGAGTCACCCTTAACTCCCTAACTGGGACTATAGAACCGACTCGCGATCCGACTCGCCGAGTCCAAGAACAACTCGCCGAGTTTGAATAACAACTCGTCGAGTTCCAGGCAATATTCATATAACTCGCCAAGTTGTTCATCCAACTCGCCGAGTCTAAGGCCACCTTCATAGAGAACTCGTCGAGTTCCTCCTTGGGACTCGCTGAGTCCCTATGACCCATTTCCCATACAGACCAAATCTGAGACATGCAACGCTTCCAAACCATAGATCCATGTTCCTTGAGCATGCTTACCACCTAAAGTTGCAAACTTTACATGCATGCATGACCCTATAAGCTCAAAAAGGCAAAACCTAGCTCTTAATGAGGTCATACACTCAATGGGGACCTCAATCACTTCAACCACAAAAACTTTATAATTCTAATATGCCCATAAGGTCCAAATCTGGAGTCCTTCCAGATCATAGAGCATTAATCACATGGAGCTTGAGGTTTTAGGGCTTGAAAACCACTAATTTGGGACAAAAGGGGATCTAATGAACTAGTAATCAAGGTAAGAACTTTTCTACCTAAATGAAATCTCCTCTCAGTGTAGATTCCGAATCTATTTCCCCTCCTTGCTGTAACGCCTGTGTTTCTGGGCTTGTCATTAATGTTGATATAATAGTCTAGGTTAACCTTTGTAACCCGTTTTGAAATAATAGAAGTGTATTATTTGAGTATGATGTGTTTTGTGCTTAATTGCTTAATTATGTGGTTTGATTAATTAAAAATAAAAATAAGCGTCAAAATTTAAATGTAAAATAAACTCATTATCTTTGGATAATGTTGTAGTAGTTGAAATGAGGTTTCCAAATATATATATATATATATATATATATATATATATATATATATATATATATAACGCCCAAATCTGACTTCCTATGAGGAAGTTATTATTTATTGAAGTTTCGACTTAGCGGTGTGCAACCTGAAATACTCTATTTGAGATCGAGCGGTTTTTAGCCGAAGCAATCTAAATGAGAATCGAAGATCTCATTGTTGGTATCGAAGCGATGAAAAGTTAGGCGAGAACGGACGTCGGATGAAGAAGTTATGAATTTATAACGAAATTTTTCTGTCCCGGCCTATTAAAAATAATTAATAAAAATAAACTCAAAATTAGCCGACGGAGTCTAAACGAAAGTTGTAGAGCGTAGTCTCACCTACGTGTGGATATAAAGAATGTCGAAAACGGAGTCCGTATGAAGAAGATACGAATTTTCAAAGTTTATTAAATAATTAATATTAAAGTTTAATTATAAAATCCGGTATTATCCGAAGAGGAGTCATCGAGCATACCCGAGGTACGCGCAGCGTACAGTGAAGCATGATGTCCCTCGCACTCGAGTTCTTCGGATGACATACGCCATGACGACTTCGGACGCGTACGCCCCGCGTACAGGCGTACGCCCAACGTACGTGCAAGGCTCAGTCTCCTATAAATAGGATGCGAGGGCAGCCGGCTCATTTGCTCTTTTTCTCTCTTCTCTCTCCTGTTTTACCTCGATTTGTGGGCCAGAAGTACCCCGAAGCCCCGGTAATATTCCCGAGCCCCGAAGCAAGTTTCGAAGCCTCGAAGATCCCGAGAAGTGCGATTCTCGAACCGAAGCTCTGTCCGCGAGAAGTTCGATTATTGTGGAGATCTTAAAATCTGCTGAGGATTACTACTTCTGTAAGCCTTAGTGCTGTCTGATAATCTTCTGATCAAGTGAGTGTGTGGTTATTTTCTTCTAACGAATAATTATGAAGTATTTTATAGGAAATACGTGTTATGTGTATAATTTTGTTGTTATATGTGTGAATGTATATTCATTCTCTTCTATCTCATAGATCTGATTTATTTTCTATGAAATACGTGTTATGTGGGTGTGCCTCATCTGTTATGTTGAATATATATTGAATGAAAATGCTATACAGGTTTTAAACTATGTATAAAAATGTATATTTTTATCTACTAAGATGTTGGGTAGAACATGGGTAGATAGTTGGTGTGTAATAAACAGATGAGAGGCCTCGATGTTGCTGTTGTTGACCTAGTTATTCAGCGGAGTATGGATAATGACCACAGACTCCTTCTAGACAGTCTTGTGGAACGCTAGCAGGTTCATAACCTGTAGGTGTTCTGAACGATGTGTTCACCGGTGTACTCTATCCCCCTCATGGTTGCCTTTAGGATATCTATTATTGAGGAAACCCCTTAGCAGTAATGTCCGTCCCGATGAAAATCCTAGATTAGGTCCCTTGAGATAGATGTTGTTTTAGGGATGTAAAGTGAGGATAACGGGAATGGGTAATCGGGATAGTGATTGGTTGGTGAAATTAAATATAATATATTTATTGTGGGTTGAAAACCCTATATGCTCACCGGGCTCCCAAGCCTGACCCACTCAGTTTTATTTGTATTACAAGAAGTGGCGCAAAGGCGTAAGATGGATGAATCATCGAGTTGTTTTTTTTACAAGTGTGTATATGTATATATTTGTTGAATGACTTGTAATGTTATCGTTTATGCTTTATGGTCTGTATCGGAACATGACACCCAGAGTTTTGATTATATAATGGAAATGCATCTCTTGATGAAATGCTTTGATAAATATTATTTTATCATGTTTTGTTTTGGGAACAAATTCCGCAACACTTTTAAATCAAAAGGATTTACTCTGAAATTATTTTAAAAAGCATAAATGAAATCGGTCTTTTCTAGCCGTGGTTTTGGGGATGTCACAGTTGGTATCAGAGCATTAGTTTAAGCGAACTAGGAATTTGTAGGATTTCTAAACTTAAACTTAGAATGCTAAGTGGAATTTTGAGATGTGTGTCTGTTGGATTTTAGACACGAGCACTAGTTTATTTTTAGGAAAGTTTCCTAAAATGCTTTTATGTGCTAAATGTTATATGTTGCCATATATGATATTATTTGTTCAGATCTACGGTTTGTTGCCAACCGGATCTGAAGGTTTATGTGTTTAGGATTCTAAGCGTATGTATACAATATTAGAACTAGCATGTAATCGTTTGGACTACTAAGGATGAAGTGAAATATATCGTGAATAAGGATCTAATTTCACCTTATTCAGTGTGTAGATCAAAAATGGTGAGAACAAGGAGTGGCGTTGGAAACGCAGATGAAAACAGGAATCAACCGCCAGTGATTGAGCAAGTACCTGTTGTAGCAGCAGCACCAGAACCAGTAACAATGGTTGGGGTGCAAGCCATGATTCGGGATATGTAAGCCGAACAAAGCGATGAGATGCGACAAATGTTGCATGATAATAGGGACGAACCTATCATACCTATTGAGGAACCCGAATTGATTCCCAAGCAATCGGAGGAAGGGAACAATAGTGGCATTATGAGTCAAGTTGGGACTCAAGGAGAACGAAGGAACGATCCGGAAAGGAGAAACAACAAGGATGGACGAATGTACAAGAACTTCTTGGGCGCCAAGCCGCCAAGTCTTTCTGGGAGCCCAAAGCCTGTTGAGATAATGGATTGGATCTCCAAAATGGAGATGGTATTTGAAAGTTGCGACTGTAGCAACAAATAGAAGACTGTCTTTGCAGTTAGACAACTGAAGACTGGAGTATTGAGTTGGTGGAAGTTGTTGGCAGATACTATGCCACGAGGGAAAGCCCTGAAAATGTCATGGGAGGAGTTCTTGGAACAACTAAGGGTGCAATATTGTTCAGAGATAGATCTGATTGATTTGAACAATGAGTTCCAAAACTTGAAGAAGGGGAGGATAAGCATAGACGACTATGCTACTGCATTTACTGATAAAATGAAGTTATTTTCGTACCTAGTGCCAACGGAACCCTCCAAGATTGAGAGGTTTGCTAATGGACTGCCTGCCGACTTTGGTCCGACAGTCAAGATGGCAACTA